TTCCAGAAACTGTCATAATTATTCAACCCATCACTAATGTTTTCATCAATCAAAATCTTCTATCTAAAAAAAAAGGAGATAGTCAAGTAAGTCAAGTTTAAAAATTTATTTTCAGTTTTTTCACACATTTTAACTTGTATTTTTAATGACAGATACGAAATATATTCCTCATATTTGCTGTATTGATACAACTGTCATTTACCAAGAAATTACAAAGAAAATAAACCCACCTTTACAGAAAAGCTTATATTACGTACGAAAATATTTTACTTTCGTGTGTGTGTTTTACAGTAAAGCCAAATCTGGCTATCTGCTGTGTCCACCGAGGGGAATCGAACCCCTGATTCTAGGTTTCTAAATCCATAGACTTACCGCTTTCCCACCAGGGGAATTTTACTTTCGTCCAGTGGATAGTCTAATAGGGCATTACAACTAATCAATATGATAATGTTAATGGTAGAAAAATAACAAACATCAAGTAGTTTGTATTAGTTGGTTTGAGAGATAGACAATATTAATAATTCCCTAACCATTGAGTTGTAATTAATATAATTTTTATAAACTCTCAAACCTATTTACTATTGGAGATAATATTAACAAATGAATTTAAGGCAAGAAAGAAAATATTAAATTATAAAAAAAAATGTTTCTGCTTCATATATCGATGATCTAGGTTCTGTTCTATTTCGGCAGACTAATCACTATACTTGTATATTTTGTGTCTTAATAATGTTCCAACTCTGAAATCAAATAACAGTGTAGCGCCCTGACATGGGCCACACAGGTTGGTTAATCATGCCCTGTGTCTGCACTGTGTGATTATAGCATATTCGAGAGTTTTGAAATTCTACTTGTTAATCTTGGGCTCATGAATGTTGCCTGCTCCGGTTCACAAGCAAGATACAGAGACAGGCCGCAAAAGCCTCATATTTCATTCCATTGGTTAGTAAGGACGAAACTCTTTAGAAAAACTTCCAAATTTTTAGAACGAAGCGCCACGCTTTAAGTTTCTGTAGTTAAACCACTTATTTGAACAACTCATCATGTGAGAGTACTGTTTAAGACTTTGTAGCAATCCAAAGGCAAAATGGCAAGTTAGGAGTTTAGAAGGTGTGCTGGTGTGCTGAACAGTTAACAGAAATTCTTAGTGACATTACAGCCTTTACCAGAAACATAAAGGCCAGCTGGACAGAACTCTGGTGTGTAGGGGAGGGCGTAAAGAATGTCATGCTTTCCTGAAGTTGACAGCTTAACCCGCTTTCTCACCACGTGCACAAACAGCCGTTTGAAGAAACCAAAACTATCATTAAAAAAATAGCAGTCTCATTTATTAAAACTGATACTTTTGTTCTTATTTTGATAGTTAGAAGGTTATGACTTTTCTTTAACTTTTTTGGGGTAACTTTCTACACACTTCTTACAGAAAAGGAAAAAGGGGTGTTGATTAAGTTCACTCACTATAAGTGTAAGAATACTGAAAATTTGTTTTTTTAGTATTTTGATAGTTTTATGTAACGTAAAATTGCGTTATCGTGTTTACTTGTTTATTTTTTGTGGTATTCCTAATGAAGTCTGGGGAAGGTTTATCTGACAATTTCTAGGACAAGGGTCATTATTGTAGCAAAGAATACATATCAAATGAAACAAAGTTCAAATTTTATGCGTGATTATATTCTATGAAAAACAAAGCTAGATATTATAACCTGTTAAAGGTTTGGGTATATTTGATCGAGTCTGACTTTTATCCCGCTATGTTTATTCCGCCTTGACATATGCCTTTTTCAGTCCTATACCTCAAATATTCTAATAAGTCTCTGGTCTAAACAGAAATGATATTGTCATAGATTTCGGAGAAGTTTTAGTCAAGAGAAAGGTTTTTTGTAGTTAGGCACAAAGCTATACAATGGGCTCTCTGTGCCATGCCCACCACGGGTATCGAAACCCGGTTTCTAGTGTTTAAGTCCGCAGACATACCGCTGTGTCACTGGGGGCGAGAAAAGGGGTAGTTTCGCCCGCCAAGTTATATAAAAAGTTGGCAGAAAACTACTGGTGACTGTATAATTTTGCTGAGGTATTGGCGCACATAAGCTAAAAGCATTATTTCGCTTGTAACACGCAGTTTGAAACAATCTTATGTCAAATGTGACAAAAACTCAAAATCCGTTGTAAAGTGATAGAAATAAATCATGAAAGTAAGCCAAAAAGGCACTTCTCTTTCTTCTTTTTCTGTCGTGTTTTCCAACAAATGCAGTGCCTTTCGAAACACCGTATCTACATTACACAACATCCAAACTTCCAGAACAATTCCCTCATTTGTAAACAACAAAACAAACTACGGAATGCGTCTACTGTGTTTACATCATTTATATTAAACTACTTATTTATGTTTAAAAAGGAGCTTTTACTTATAAACAATATATATATATATAAGCGTGTCCTAGGAGAGGATCGAACGTTCAACCCTCTGTATATTTGACTGAGAAAACTTTGCCTTTACCAAACAAATAAATAGGCACAATTGTAGAAGCTCTGTGGGCCAAGGTTTCCCCAGTTGTTTCTTCTATTTAATTCTATATGTTTGATTCCAGTAGATGAAGATAAGAGTTACGGTTTGAATGTTATTGCAGATTTTACAATAATAACAATACTAATAACATCACTACTATCACTAGTAATAATAAAAGTAACAGTAGATTATAAGATTACCTCCATTTATTTCTTCTGTTTTATCTTACATGTTTGATTCCAGTAGATGAAGATAAGAGTTACGGTTTGAATGTTATTGCAGATTTTACAATAATAACAATACTAATAACATCACTACTATCACTAGTAATAATAAAAGTAACAGTAGATTATAAGATTACCCCCATTTGTTTCTTCTAACTTGACTTGTGTGCTAACATCTTCACTTTATATGCCTAGGATTTTTTCATAATTTGACGTTTGTTCACATTGACAGTTTTTTTTTATATAGATGTGAAATAACATCGGTAGAAGTATTATGTTTATTTATATTTACATGAGTTCTCATTGTGTTTATTTGGAACAAGCCTACCCAGACGTTTATATATATATATTGAATTATAAATCAATTAATTCTTGAACGAGATTGACGCAGCGTACAACTGATTCCCTTTTTTGATAACTAGCGTTTTCATGGCAGCTTAACTTTGACTAGAAAATTTCTTTCAGTGCTCTCAACAATTTGTAAACTATTTTTTATAGAAGTTATACTAATCCTAGTTCTTTGATTAAAAAAAAATCCGTAACAACAGATTGAAGTTTCTTATCACTGCGCAACTCGAATGATTTAACACCAAAATAACTTTGACAACGATTATTAAATAAAATAAATCTCAGAATACACCTTTATCCCTAGGATGCGCTTTTGTAGGCGGGGTCAGTGAACACAAAGTTTTACGTAAATTGTCCATTAGGGAGGAACTCAGTTTTGAGTCGGCAGACATTTATCATCAAGAGTGCTGGTGTAAGCTACAGTATGTCCCTAACCAGAACTTTATATGCTGATACGAAGAATGGCCAAGGCTTGCGTTTTTCTTGGAGGGGAAACTTTCTGCTACGTAGAGTAACTTGTGCATTTTCTCCTAATTAAATGGAGAGGTGAATAAAGGAGCAAGACATGACTCACCTAGCTGCCTGTAAAGTTTCAATATTGAACAGTTGTTTGTTCGCTTTGTTGTTAAGCACAAGGCAACATAATAGACGGTGAAGGTATCGAATCCCGAACTCAGTTGTTATAAGTTGTCAGGCTTACTGTTGAGCAGCTAAGAGGGCAATATTAGATAACTAAAAATAGTCGATTTAAATGTATGTAAATAATGTGCTTATTTTAAAGAACTGATTAGTTGTTAACAGATGAAAATTCTCCCATTATTTTACAATAAGTATAAGGATTACAGATTTAGGATTATATCATTACTTTCTCATTATGAAAATCCTTAAACCTCAAATGCTACAGTGCTTATAAAAAAATTAAGATTAGTATTTATAGGCACTGCTTAGTAAGTATATAAAAATATACGCATATTTTTCAAAGCTACAACGTTAAGGTTTAAATTTATTTAAAAAAAACTGACAATTATAAACCGATTGAATGTCATTTACACATCTTTCGTACTGAGTGAAGTTATCAGAGTAAACATAATGTCGGTTTTAGATCTTTTCCAAGGGCGGTACAATCAAATACACTAAGTATAACTTAGCAGGTTTCTACATTAAGAATTTTTGCTACTAAATTTGAAATTCTTAGTTAGTCCATAAAAATGTTTAAAAGTGTTATGGTAAAAGAAATATTTTGATTAAAATACTGTACAATTATCTTCTCGCATTATACGAATTATGACACTTTTAGACACTTACATAAATAATTTGTAGCAAATTATACATGTAGAAGTAGATAACCATAATTAGCATATTAGGAAGTGTTCGACTTTTAACAATAACTTGTGTATCTAGTTCTCCTTTTAAAACCTATATTGTTATTCTTTCACCAACGTGTGGATGGGGTGGGGGTCTACATTAAGCAAGAGGGAATCCTCTTTATCCATGGCACTTGAAAATTCTTTCAGGCAGAGTTAGAGTAAATTAATCTATGAGGCATTGAGCGTGGTCAAATAAAGTAATAGAAAGGGTTTGACCTCCTGAGTCCAAAACTGTAATTAGAGCTCAAATCGGTCAAGAGATGATGAAGCTATTGGCTAAACATTTGTAGTTGAAAAAATACAGCCATTCTATGAGCCGTTATGCCGCGGCTAAAAAAACATTATAAATATCAGTGCGAGGAAAATCTATTGAGCTTATTTTTTACTATTATCTTCTTGTTTGTAATAAGGCCTACGACTTATCGCTGCGTTTCATTGGGACTGGGCTGTGCATTTCGACTCAGTTTCCATAGTTCCAGTGCTCGTATTGACAGAAGCTACTGCGCTGCTGCTTTCTCGTCTGTTCGTCAGTTGAGGAGTGCAGCTTGCCGAGAACAGGCCTAAAGTCGTGCTTTCTACAACTACTAAAGGTTCTATGGTCCTTATAGCATGGCTTGCAGATTAACGTCAAGAAATGAAAAAAATAACTAATCAGGATAAATATCGAAATTTATTTAGTGATATTTTAAAGAAAAAATACAAATATGAAACTTTTACCAAAACGCACGAACGTGTGTGAAGTTGTCATGTAACAGAACAGAGAAAAACTTTTTTTTTCGCCTTTAGACCGACATCAAATGTTTAACTGCGTTGGATAAAAGTGTACAATTTATGCCGATTCTGTTACAAAAAACCGTAGGTAGTTATAGTTTTCACTACTTTTCCATTCCAACGAATAATAGTAGAAGTCTGTTTATTTAATTCGTATAATAATAATAATAATATTAACAGTAAAATAAAAGCGTGGATGTAATATCTTCGAAAGCTGAGCTGGAACCTTGACAACAGTTGAAAAGTTTACTGAAAACTCCGCTGGAAATACTTATAATCTTCGATTATAGATGTGATTGTATTCAGCTATCATGTGCTCCTTCTTGATTTTAGTGCTGTTAGCCACCTTGAGATTAGGCCTAACTCAGGACTCTGATAATGACGGTAGGTGAAGGTCAAATTACTTATATGGGTGTCTCCACGTGTTTCATGAAGACACTTCATACCATTACAAGTTTTGCGTTATTTAGATGAATAACAAAGATGAATCTCGAATATAATATTTAACTTTGTTTGAAATATTATAAAAACATAGGAAATCACTAAAACGGAAGAAAATGTTTACAGTAAACTGAGAACGTTTGAAATCTAACCTGTAATTTCATACCGGTCACCTTACAATAATTATTTTGGGACTTAATTTGACTAAAAAGCCAAATCCTGAGTTTGACGAAATTATCAGCTGAAATATTCCTTTAGAAAACGATTTCTTCTTATGAAAAAAGAAATGAACTTATATATGAGGATATATAGATTAAGAACCTTATGGTTAATATATAATAATTAGATATTACTCTTTTATTCCTATAGCAAGACATTTTGAAATAACTTATGAATTATCATGATAAAAAGGTACTCATTCCATTCTTTATTATTTTCATCAAATATTAAAGATGATGTAATCTGTAATAAAAATTAAAATACAATAATCTAAATATTCCTGCTTAAGTTTATTATTATTATTTGATAGCATATTATTACCATTAACTCTTAGTGTCATACGCTTGAATGATACCAGTTCGTGATGTATGTTTATGTGTATATATATTCATACTTGGATATTACAAAATATATAACTAAATATACTACACAGCATTTAACAGTGTTTTAGTATTTAGTTGTACTGATGGGTGATGCTAAGGCCTTAGTAATGATGAAGTAACGAAGGGAGATAATGTAAGTGCTTGTAGTTATCAATTAGAGTTTAGTTTTAGCATTAAAGTAACTGAATTATCGATCTAGAACTTGTTAATTGTATAACAGTGAACCGAGTAGAATTTCAAACATACATATATATTCTAAATACATATCAATAAAAGAACGATTCATCCTTAATTTGTGGATGTTTTTTATTATTTACTATATTATAATCGCTGATACTGTTAAAAGAAAGTTAAATAAATGTAAGTTTTGGAGAAGATACCTAAACACTAGATTGCTCAGTAACAGGTATAGTATATCATGCACACATTATTCAGTCTAAAAGTCGAGAAGCTATTCTAACACTAACTGATACAGGAAATCATTTTTGTAGGAGATACAAAACAGCCTAACTTTTGCAGCTTGAGACATTTTCAGCCCGATGAAAAACACATAATTTTGTGTGAAGTTCAGTTTCAACAATGAAAACACTTCATCGTTGATAGGAAGGTTTTCTAAGGAGGTCAAAACTTGTCAGAGTTTGTTCTCGCCAATTTTGATAAAGACGTCCAGATGTCTTCGTGCAGAAAGATTAATGTAATTTGAGCGCTGCGATTTACGTCCGCTTAGGAAACGCAGATCATACGATCGTGCCAATGTTCAAGTTGTGATCCGTGTTTGAAAAAAAAAATCCTTCAAAAATGCGAATTCTCTTTCAGTGGCTAGCATTTTTCAACTCGACCGTTTTCTGTTTCGTTCAGCCACCTTTTGTTACTGGCCTAAAGTTAACACATTCATCCCCTATGCATAGTTAAATAATATCTATCGTTAGGTATATCTTTCCCATAAGAATACGTAAAAAAATGTTACTTCGTGTAGAAACAGATGAGAAACAGAAAAAGCTACTTGATTTGTTGGCCAACATATGATGTTATTCGGTAAAATTGTGTTACACTCAGTTCCTCTATTTTCATGATGTCTGTTTACTTATGAACACTTAGGGTTAATTCTAAACATGTAATGGCATGATTTCACTGAATATTAAGCAATTTATATTGTACAACGTGCAGGATGTTTCCATTTTTATTTACTTGCTCTGAAATGTTTATCTGTTGACTGGGCAATATCTTTTGTGAACAGATGTTATAGTGCTTAAGATAATAATTTAAGTCAAAATAACAGTATATTTCAAAGTAGTCGTCACGATGCCAAAACGTTATATATGTAGTTATTGAGCGGAATTGATTCGTTGCTTCATATGTTTCGTTTCAATGTTTAAATTGCGTGACTCTGTAGTTGTAAAAGATTCTGTGAATAAAAACCGCCTTCCAAGGTTAGGTTTATAACGAATTACAAAAAATAACACATTTTTCTTGATATAATTTTCACATAGCTACAGAAAATAATGTTTTAAATAAGAGGCCTTAAGACCGAGTAGTGTAAGATATAAGTTATTGAATAAATAAAAAAGCCTACACCTTTACTGGCTCCCTTTTATAACCCTAAATGTAAGCAACTTACGGTTTGGTTGCAATCCAATTTGTCTGAAAATTTCGATCAAGTTGCACTGATGAATTTTTTTTAGAAAATGGGCTATCTGTGCTCTGCCCACCACGGGTATCGAAACCCGGTTTCTAGCGTTGTAAGTCCGAAGATATACCGCTGTGCTACTGAGGGGCATAAAGTAACTGATAACCTAAGTGCACACGGTGTGCATCAAACTTGTCGTATTAAATACCTTAGCCTTTTCTCCTTTGTACTAGGGTTATAGCAATAAACGTAAACCTGAACCGTTGTACATAAACTGAGAAAGATAAGTGCAGGAAAACATATCTCTTTGTTGCCTTTTGTTGCACTATCCAGGGAGCAGTTAAACAGCTCTTATGCACTTTTGGCGTAGGATATTTATGTAACTGTGGAAGTGAATACAGCTTGTTGTAATAAATTAATTATGTATAGAGAAAACTGCACTTACTATGCTCACAGTTTCCTCATGTCCATTATTTCAAAATTCTTATTAGTTATTAGATAAAGTTAAACACAGTAATGAATGATATTACGTTTATCAATTAAAAGTTTACGAAAATTCTTTGACCAAAAAAAAAGTTCACTTTAAATGCTCTTTGGTATCTGATGGAAAATAATTTAACTTACTTTGAGGCCACGGGCTGGTGCTCTGTTAGAACTCTGGATATCGAAGCTGACAAGTCAGGTTCGAATACATGCAATACCACACAATTTGAAAACCATTACAAAATATTTCATTCACTTTCATATATGGGTACGTTATACGAGTACAGTCAACCCCTTAGCGTGGATGTTGGGTAATATGGTGCTGTTGACTGACTGTCTTCCTTCTGGTTAGTTGTTCAAAATTAAGGACGGCGGCAAATTCTAAAATACGAATGCTTAATCCGAATTATGTCTCCAACTACACGCGCTATTCTTTATTAAAAATTTACACGACATCGTTAAGAAAAGCGGTGTTTTACTAATTTATGAAATTTCTGTCAACAGAGACCTCTGGTGAAACGATGATAAATTAATGTTATTTGTTATGTTTCTTTTGCTTTACGTGTATAAAAAACGTTTCTAGAAATCGGTGCCAACTCTCTTGGTAACCGCTAATCCAAACATATTCCACTCCAAATACTTGATATCTGTAATAGCAATCTCTGTCAACCAATTAAAAGAAATAGTAGTTATTAATATTAAATGTTATATTCGTACCATTCTTATCAGCGATTTATCGAATTGGAATATAATTATATTTTCCAACCTCGTTTTTTTTTTTTTATCTGTGTGACAAAAATAATGCTTTTTCGTGAAACAATAGAATAAATCAATTTTTCATTTATTTTTTACAGCATTCGGAAACGTTTTCTATAAACAATACCAACACATCAAAAATGGCAAATAACAACGGACAACAACTTGCAATATCACAACAGGTATTAATCTCAAACCCAGAGCGTGGATCAGTCAGAATGCCAAATCTGTTCCCTTACTTGTAACCGAAAAACTAAGGAAAGTTGTTTATGAACATTTAAACTACTGTATAGGCTTTGTTTGGAATAATAATATGTAAAAAATAAATAAATGTGTAGTAAGAAAATACTTACCAAAAAACAAACAAATAAATATTGAACCGTTTTGAGTTCATCTGTCAAAACGTCCCCTTCTGCATGCATATTTACAAATATTATTAGAAGCGCATATGCTAATTTTGAGGCCACATCAGAATGAGACTTTAACAACACAACCTCAACTTTTTTTGTTGTCTTTCAAAATTTGTAGTTCATACTGAAGGGATTTACACATTTTGATAAAAAGTTTAGAAAAAACTACCTTTACATTTCTTTAACGACTATTCTAATATCAAACAGTTGTGTACATTAACCCTGAGGAAGTCACAAAGGCGAAATGTTGGTTAAAATAAAAACAAAATATTTCATATATATCTGGAGTGTAAAGGTTGTTTTTCTTTCTAAACTTTTTCACAACGTCAAATTGAATAAAATGGCATATTTTCAGTTACGTTTCGAGCAAGCTCTCCTTGTCAAGAATAGCAAGATCTATTTTTGACAGGCTAATACAGGCACATTCAACCATTTCAGGGTTGCTTTTTATCCTGTTGAACGCGTTATTGCTACATGACATTGTTTACTTTCAAACTAAATAATATTATTCTTTATACCAATCTACTTTACTTATGCATACATTCTTTAGAACTGTCACTCAAATTTTGTAAATCGAATCAAGTATGACCTAAACTGGTTGTTTGAAACATCACTAAAGTAATCTTCATATTTCGTTTACTTGACTATATTTTCAAAACTAACACCCGATTTTGAAATATAAGCTTTGATTAATTAATCATCAAACTACATTTCGCATTCCAAACATTCTAGTATATTTTTGTTTGTTTGTTTGTAATTAATCACAAAGTTACACAATGGGCTATCTGTGCTCTGCACATCACGGGTATCGAAACCCTGATTCTAGCGTTGTAAATCCACAGACATACCGCTGTGCCACTGGGGGCTCTAGTATATTATTAATAATGCAAAACAGCATAATCGAATGAAACCTAACATCAGGATTCATTAAACTTTGTTATACCTTCCGCACGATCGTGTTTTTACATCTTAATTGAAGCAATCGTTGAAAAGGAAACTCATCTGTAAACTTATATAAAAATTACCTCACAGCTATCTCGACCTGTAGTGTTAAAAAATGATTTA